ATAAGGTAGTCAACCAAGGTCAACCTTGTCGTAGCTATGTATCTACCCTTCTCCTCGCCTATCTTTCAAATGGAATGCAGATTACTCTGAATCCTACTGCAATAAATCTTAGTGAAAGCCGCGCCCAGAAAATGCATGCACACTCTGCCCTCTTTATTTACCATATTGAGAACATAAACACGCACCGTTCTAACCGGTGAGTATATTATGATAATAATCATAGTTCTTTATTAAGCAGTTTATATTGTAACAGCATTTCATGCAATTTAGCTATGTACAGTCGGTCTAAAGTCAAGTGGACCTTTCCTTCACTTTTAACCACAGTCCATCAATCGGTTTCATAGGACGCGCCTTCCCAAACTTTAGCTGGGTTTTGTCACAGGTCTTGAACGTGAACTTCTGCAAGGTCTTCACTAGAACAATTTTCATCTCAAGCAGAGCTAAGCGCATACCGATACAATTCCGTGGGCCCATGCCAAAGGGTAGGTAGGTGTAGGGGTTCCTCTTTGCCTTGGCCTCAGGGGTGAATCGATCGGGGTCAAACTTCTCCGGGTCTGGGTACAGTTCTGGGTCGTGGTGTATGGCGTACACTGGCACGGTGACGGCTGTACCTTTGGGTATGAAGATACCTTTTACAGTGGTGTCTTCGTTTGGTACACGATCTAAAATAAAACCAACAGGGTACTTTCTCAGGGTCTCGGCTATGACTTGGTCGAGGTATTGTAAAGTGGAGACATTGTCGTACGTTGGCTCTTCACCCTGCAGAGTGTCGTCAATTTCCTGCTGGAGGCGATCCTGAATTTCGGGGTTTGTGGCGAGTTCGTAAGAAGCAAATCCTAAAGTATCAGATGTTGTGTTGTAACCAGCGACGAAAAATATTATGCCATTTGCCACAACTTCATCTCGAGTCAAAGGTCTTTTCCTCCACTTCCCCACCTCTTTCACGTCTTCCGTTAGTTCGGCACTATCAATCTCCATCTCATGGGCATTTAACATCAGCTGAAGAAAATCTTTACCGCCATGATTTTTGGATTGTTTCCTGCCTTCTATGAGGTCATCTGTAACTTTGATAAAGAAATTAAAAGCACTAACCATGGGTACCAGGTAAGGTAAAATCGGTCTAAATAGATTGGCCAGGCGTGGCGCTATTATGACGAGAAGAAGGAAAGGGTTGGCGAAGCTCATTTTGTTGATAACCTCGGCCTGTTTTACCAAAGGCTCATTTGGGTTTTTCTGGGAGTCTACTTGAACACCAAATGCAGTGGAACAAATAGTATCCATGGCGTATGTGCCCCACAATTCTTTGGTATCGAAACTCTCATTCATCTGTGCCTTTGCCGTCAAGTTGGCGACGGCTTGGCTGGCGCTGGTCAGAATAGCACTTTGCATCAGCCGAAGTTTCCCAGAACTAAATGTGGGCGTCATGGTGCTGCGAACTTGCTTCCAGTCATCTCCCTTCAGCAACGTTACCATCTTATTCATAGGTGAACTGGAGGCAGAGCCCACGCGATCTGTGAACACATACGCCTGCTTGACAAGAATTTCCTTCAACATGTCTTCATCTGATACCACGAGAGTTCCGAACCTTTGACCAAAGTATCCCGGGTTTAAGGCAAACGCCTTACCGTATAAATTACGAAGATGTGTGTAGAAATCAATCATTCCCAGTTTAAACATCAGTGGAAAATGACCTAGTACAGGAGTAGGGTCTGGCCCAGGAAGTCCAAACTTCGTACGGTTGTCGCCGGATGCTGAAGTGAACGCGTAAATCAGTGTTAAAACAGCTATGATCAGCAGCAACAACAACCAGTCGGGCATGAAACTTAACAGCGCCATTCTGTCATCCGTTGATGCACACCAGCTTAAAATTCAAACCAGTTTCACAGCGTTTCAAATCGGCCACGGAGTTTTTATTGTCAGCGTAGCTAGGCTGCTTATCTGCAATGCCAATAGCGCATGTGTAGGTCAACACAGTCAAGACACCTTAATTTATATATACAGTTTATCGGTCTATGGATAGACTCTAAAGTAATTTTACCCTCTCCAATGTTATCTGCACAAGATGGTGACGTCAGTTTGTTGACTGATGACTTGGCAATTGTCATATCCATCCACGTTGACCAAAGCCTTCTATAAAGTCAGATGTATTTTTGGAGATGTCCTTGAACGGCTCCACGGACATTTATGTTTACAATCAACTCTCTTCACTTTGGAGATTTGGAATTGCATACTGTCCTATTTTTAGCATTGAAAATTGATTGCCCTGTCTCTTGCAGCTAGTCCAAGAGTTGTATACGTGTATCTCCCAACTAGCTAGCACTGGATATGCAAAGAAATCAGCGCGGTTAATGACAGTGATTCACCTTTATTCAGTATGATATGGTCCTAAGTAAGAGCTTTTACAGGCGCGCTTTCGGTTAGTGTACTGTAGAAGGATAAATAGTAGGTCCTACGCACGCTTCACCTTGATTGGATAGTAAACGGTTGTCGTAAAATCGCTAAATGATATTAAAACCCGGTGCATAAACTTGAAAACCACCTAGGACATGCAACCTTAGACTGCCACATTAATCCAATACAATGCAAAATAAACTATAACAAGTGGTTAAAGCCTTCAAACCGAATGTCGTAGAGTACCCATATACCGCCATAGAGACAATAAAATAGAGTAAGCTTGTGAAACAAGAATCCACCAAGTTAAACATAATAATCGAAATAAAATACTGCCGGGCATCGGAGCGGCCTAAAACTTGGCACGCTTACCGCAAATACTGCAGGCTACATCATCCCGTCGCTCGTTTGTAAATTCCGTGCATGGCATACGCACAATCAAACCGTAGGCCCTATATCCAAATTCCACCTCTGATGTTTAAATCGGTCCACTCTAACCTCCCATTACGAAAAAGAAGCCATGCCATTGGACAATGCGACCTCTGCGGTTACGTCATTTCCTGAATTGGATTGTGGAGTGGACCGATTTAAACATCAGAGGTGGAATTTGGATATACGGCCATAGGGCATTTTCAATTGCAGCACCAATTTTATGGAATGAACTACCCTCACACATTAGACAGTGTTCAGGTTTAAAAAAAAACTTAAAAACAGTGTTATTTGAACAGTACTTCAATTTATTTTCATACTTGAAATTCTATATTTTCTCATTTTATCATGAAAAGGTTTAATTGTTTTATTCACCTCAGGTATTTATATAATACTTGTAATTTTGATAATTTTATTTGTAAACAGCACTGAGACAGAAGTGTAGTGCTGTTAATAAGAAATAAATACTGTTATTATATTAGTTTTATTCCTTTTAATAAAATGAAAAATGTTAAATAAAGCTATACATGTATATTGAGAATGAGTGAATTATAATTAATAGCTATTTTTTTCATGCCTCAGATAAGTCGACAATACTAGGCAGACTACTCCTTAGATTTTGAAGGTTGTAAAATTATTTTAATGCATTAATATGTTGTTTAGCTATCTGTTTGGCTTTAGAGGTTATTATTGTAAAATAATTAAATAATTGATGTAATTTTTTTTAATAAGGGTTTTTAGATAATTGTTTTATGTATTTTCTATTGTCAGGCAGTAAGAACCTATTTTTCTCTCCATATATATATCTGCACGTCCATGATACGATACATATATATTGTATATTTTGCATTAATTTAAGATTGTTTAAGATGAGTAAGGGCACATGCTGTAACTTGGTTTTGTAAAATCACCTGAAGTTATAACGCAGCAAAGTAAGGAGAGAACCCCGTGCAAATCATCAATTTTTTTTCTCTGCCAATACTCTAGCTCTTTCTCTCTACCCGGTATTTTCCTCCATTCCCTCCCATATCTCGTCAAATAATAATAATAATAATAATAATAATAATAATAATAATAATAATAATAATAACAATGAAAGCATCAGTATTATCAACTGGATAAACATACATTTTATTTGGCACCGCTAGAACGTAATGTTATCTTGCATACAGCAATATTGTACAACAGAAAATAGAGATAATCTGTAGCAATACAAGTAAGTGTATGCATGTCGTAAACGAGATTCTTATCACCTATATGCGTATAAGACACCGAAATTAAGAGATATTAATGAACACAAACATATTGAAGTCTCATGACCAAAGACAATTTTATGCAATTGTCACATAAATGCATTGTTTTTCTTTTTTTTTTTTTTCACTAACACTGAATAATGTAAAATATTTTCTGTCAACAGAATTTGACATACATATGTGTACAAATATATTTGTTTATAGATAAAAAAAGTATAATCCGGCAAGTAAATATGATTTACCCATTTGGCGTACTCAGTATTGTTTGATTTAAAATAGAACAGAGGTAATACTGTGCTCATCAAAAATGTTATATGATGCAAAAATGCTATGAAATTGTACCACTATAATAAAAATAGAAAACGTAAGACAAGGAATACCTAAACATATAATTTATAAAAGCATTTTTTCCTTATGCAAATCACAGAATTTCAGTTAAAATAAATTTGTCTCAGTTTTGCATAGTCATCAGACCCCATTTATTATGGTTAAGTTAGATAAGTGTTGTAGTTGATGTGTTTGTTATTACTTTGTTGAAACTATTATTTAATATCATAGCCTGTCTCATCCAACACAATTTGGCGGCTCAGCTAGCACAATAACCAGTTTTACTCTTCCACCTGTTGTTGGGTATCATCTTCTGCAGCAGCAGTTTGTTCTGTGTCTGAGAGAAAAAAGAGAGGAAACGAAGGTAAAATAAACATGAAGCAGACCCTAGGAAACATTAGAAAAATAAAAACAAAAAAATAAAACAAAACAAAACAAAATAAACCAAAATAAAATACTAAGCCAAACTATTGCCAGGTTTTGCTGGGCCATCCATCATCTGATTTAGGACACTAGGGAATGGTGAAGGGTTGGGAGAAGAGGATCAATTTAACTTTAAAATAAGCAGTCACACAGACATAATTCAACTACAAGTATATTGCTTGGAAATAGATACAAATATGGATAAGTATAAATATCACCAGGAATATGTTTGAAACTGGAAAATATAAACAATAAAGGATTGATGGATTTATCAGCTAATGCACACCTGTGTGGGTTGAGGTTGCTGAAAGAGGGGAACAAACATAATAAGTGGTTAAGTACATGAGAGTAGTTAGAGATAAGTTTTACACATTTAAGAAGAAAGAAAAATCATCTAATGCACTGGAAAAATAATAAAATAAAATATGCAGTAGGTCAAGAATACAGAACACAATAGTAAGTTGCAAAGGTCCTGTCGCTGGAGTGTGATATCCTCATCATTGGATTAAAAATTAATTTTTTTTCTCCATCAGCATCTTCACAAATCAATGGCTGCATGGCAGCCTCCCATGGTGATCCATCATTTCCTTGGCTTGGATACCATTAATCCTGTGAGCAGTTTGTTAGTATAAAAATGCAGTACAAATATTGTTGCAAGACAGAATCTATCAATGTATTCTATTTTTCTTAATTATCTTCTTCTTCCTCCTCCTCAACTTCCTCCTCCTCCTCCACCTCATCCTCGCTGTATTCCTCATCAGCTGCCTCAGCATCAGAGGGGGTGGGTTTACCTGATGGAATTGCACAAATCAAATGCCTTTGGTTAGTATTGCAAGCAAAGAACACAGCAAACCTCTTGATACATCAGAGACAAATTTGATATTTGATATGATAGGAACTTATCTCAGTAAAAAAAGGAAAGTTTGTTTTTTAAAACAAATCATCAAATATGCTCAACAAATCATCATCTGCTGCATGTAACAACAAATCCTGGCAACATCATTTCTTTTTTCTAAATTACGGTAAATGCTACACAGCTAATAGACTGATCCATAAATATATATATATAAATTTATTTTTTCTTACTGTCTTCAGCTGCTGGTTCTGCCTCTTCTTGGCTTTGTTCAGCAGGTGCTGCCTCTTCAGTCTGTTCTGTCTCTGACTCCCCCTTGAGACCATTGACTATTTTTGCATTTACATCTTCTAGAGCTTTTTTAATTGCATTTTCTGCCGCTGTGTCACCTGAAATAAATATCAAAATTACTAACAAACTGAAGGCAGGGTTTGATGTTTTCTTCACCGTTTACTGTATGTATTCTTGAAATACTAATCTGGTGTTTGGAGAATGCCCTCCCTCCCCCCCCCCCAAAAAAAAAAAATAAAAAATAAAAAAAAAAAACCTCACCTTGTAATTTGGCCATGTCAAGAGATCTTTCAAATGCTTCTTGTGCAGATTCATAACTTCCCAATTTTACTGAAATGTACAGGGTTATTATTATTACAAAATTATTGATCAATTAAAAAATCAGATAAAATGAATAAATGAAAAACCAGGTGCTCTTCCCTAAAGTTACACACAAAAGGCATGGTTTACATTACTGACGCTACATAATTTGATAATATAACTTAATTGGAACCAATGGGATTTGATTAGCAGAATTTCTGTCAAATGTGCTTTGTGCAAATGTACCTATCTCAACTAACACAATGACTCACCTTCAGCCTGAGCTATCAGCACACTGGCATTTAGTTTCCACACATTATCCTGAGCCTCTTCAGCAGCTGCCATAGATTTTTCTCCATTATCCTTGGCTTCCTCAAACTTGCCCATCTCCAGGTAGCACCGGCCTATCTCGTGGAACAGCCACGTGCTCTCCAGTGCTGATTTACTCATTGGTAATTTTTCTGTCCATCTGAAACATAAGGAGGTACATTCTACATGACAATATGAGAGATATACATGTGTATGTACAAAGAGGAACTTTTGCACGGCAGCTGCATAATTTCCAGTGACTCCGTGTTAAAAAAGGTTTCAATTAAAGCACGACAAAAATAAATAAATAAATAAATAAATAAATAAATAACATACTTTCCCTCCATCTAAAAAAAAAAGTTCAAAAAGTCATGATCAGAGTATATCACTACATGTAGTACTTTAACACAAAGATAACCCTAGGTACACTTTCTGGGACACGATTACATAAGTAACCGAATCATAATCTCAACCAGTTGGATCACACTCACACAGAGATATATTATAGCATATATACATTTTAAGTACAAGTGTGAATGTACTTACACATTAACCGCGTCCTGGAATTTCCCTGACCGCGCGTACACTCTGCCAAGATTGTCCAAGGCCCTGGACTTTAAATGTTCCGTATCACTGCAATAGAAAGAAGAATTGGACATAAAAACAATGGTTAGTATCTTTCACTTATCATAATGACTATTTATAAGGTTTAATTATTTATAATATACCTTATGTTTTTTAAGGAGAGCAATAAAAACAATTACATGTTGAATAGTCTGTGATGCCACTTGAACTTTTCCAAGGTGATAATCAATAACACTTGTTACATGTAAATTAAGATCAGAAAATAGTTCTACTAAATGAAAAAGGACAATAATAATAATAATAATAATAATAAAAAGTGATTAAAAAAATGAAAAAGAAAAAAAAAATGCAGGGGTAAAATAATGTGAATCACTGTGAAAAAGCCAATTATGATTGCAATTGTTATGGACAGTGACAAAAGCAGTACTAGTAGCTGATTCTAAAAAGGGATCATTTGCTAGGTACTACAGCACTGTATTAATCAAGGTGGTTTGCAATCAATGCTGCACTTCAAAGGATTATTCGATTAAATATGAAAATGTACCAGTACAAAGTTGTCAACGTTTTAATTATTACCATTATGTTTGGAGAATATTTTGGCATTCATCAGTTCTGGAATATTTCACTACTGGCAACCATGTTGACTGAGTTTAAAGACATCTTGGATGGCTATTGATAAGATTCATACATGCAAAGGAGGTACTAAGTGTATCATTAACTTCTCATCCTAGTTTCTACAAGGACCATTTTTGTTCCCTACTTGACCTGTGCTACACTGGTGAAGTGAGCACTTGAGACTACATCTTGTCTTATCATATTAGTATAATTTTTAACTATAGGACCCTGTATCTGCTATGTAGAGATCTGTATTTTGGGTCTTACATGTAGCTTCTAATTAGGACTGGTAACATAAAAAATGAAAGATGTTGGCGCATTTTTTTGTGTTTTACATAAAAATCAAAAAGAAAAAAAATAATTGGTAAAAAAAAAAAACCCTGCAAAACTATATCAAGACAATTTAGAATTTTCCTTACAAAATAAATAAATAAATAAGTAATACTCACTGTTTATTAGCTATATCTAAGTCTTTTTGGTGATATTGTAGAGATTTTTCAAACTGTGCCATCTCAAGGTAGGCATTCCCCATAGCACTGTAGAGATTTGCCAGCACCTCATGTCTGTTGCTAACTGCATCATCAGACCAACCTTCCACCGTCTTCAGGCACTTGTTAGACATACGTAAACTCTCCTCAAACCTGCCATTGGCTTGTGCTGGAATTATCCCATTTATAATATTACAGGAATTTAAAACAAAGAACAACATTTTTTCCTCTGTTAAATAATTACATGAAAATTTTTTATGGTGAAGGGAGTCACCAGGACATTTGACATAGGAAGGTCAAGATAACTGTGCCATAAAATTTAAGAGATTATAATAACGTAATGAAAATTAACAGAAAACAAAGAAGCAATTATTGCGTGAACTAGTATTAACAGACTGAGTGATGAGAGGGTGGAAGAACATGAAGAAAACAAAATTAATCTTTATTTTTTATATTTCAAATGACCCACATTAAATTGACAAACTGATTTAAACGTCATGAAATTGTTCAGAAAATTGCATATGTAAAATAATTTATCATAAATTTTTTTTTCATTTTTATCAATTATCACAATGCAATTATCATGAAGCATTGTAACATTTCATTTGTTTGTCATTAAATGAGCATAATGTAGAGATAGCAAGCAGTTGGCACAACAGGATTGATAAAAAAAAATAAATAAAACAAAGGCTGAAATGAAGTCAGAATATTTTTTCATACCTTCATCTATTTTTTCGAGCTCCTTAATGATGTACTGATTGTAATTGCTCTTGGACTGTCCAACTGCCCCTCCCATTACCTTCCTCTTCTCTGACTGACGTGCGTAGATGGGTTTTTGCTGGCGCCAGAATTCTCTGCGATCACTGAGGTAGTCCAGACAGTTTATAACCAGGTTATTGATCTCTTTGCCCCTCTGAGTATTGGAGTCTAATTATGAAAAATAAATAAGTGATTTTTTGATAAAATTATAAAAACAATTTAATAAATGAAGTAATATGATAAAATGGGAAAATAAATAAAAACATCTAAAATCTTATACATCTTTAATGTGCAGCTATATTTTTGGATCCAGATTTTAAGTAGAATCAAACCAGACTTGAAATGGATTATGAGTATTTGGATTTTAAATACAGATAAAAGTACAAGGGAAGACAAACAAATGAATAGATTAACTGATAAGAGAATGTATTGATGAAAGAATAAAGAACCAATAAATCAAATATATATTACCAAAGAATAAAAATGATAACACTAGTATAAAAAATATAGAAGACCAGGCTGGTAGCCAGCTTCATAAGTTTTTCTGAAAAAGTGGACCTTTTACCATGAAACCAATGTGTACCTAGATAAAATTTTACCTAGAGAGGACCTTTTTCCCAGCAAAAAGGGTTTTTTTTAACCCCCCCCCCCCCCCCAAGGCTATGAGCATGCAGACTCTGGCAACATATTATATATGTCAAGTGTAAATATACTGTAATACATACCATATTCTTTTAGCAGTTTCTCCAGGAATTGCTTGTCTCCGTACAGCTCTCCCAGCAGCTGTTTCTCCGTCTTCTCGCTGCCACTTGCCCCCTTGGGTTCACGCTTAGCTGCCTGTTGTTTCTGCACCGCAGGCTTGGCATAGCCAAACGTTGGCTTCTTGCTCTTTTTCTACATAAGATAATCATTGAAATGATGGATGTATTCCTGTGGTTGTTTCAAAAATATTTTCAATAATGAAATATCATTAATTTATTAAAATTTTAGTATAGCCTTGCATGAATCATAAAATTTGATATGTAATGTCTTTTTTTATCGTTTGTTTGTTCTCTAGAGATTTTCAGTTAAGGTGCACCTGACTAGACATAAATAATCCTTGTGCTTGCATATGTTCTAACTGTTAATTTCTCAACAACAGGCATAAATGTACAATATGGACACAGTACAATTATTCCACATGTATACAATAATTCACAATCCTTTTCAACTTCTGAACCACATACACATAATTTTAAGTCCAACATTTTTTTTTAATTTTATTTTTTCTATTGATTCATTCATCCATATTAAAATAAAGAATACTAAAATTGTAACACAGCAAAAGCTGGCACTGATGCATACAATATACACATTGCTCAATAGCAGAATGTCACACAATAAAAAGCACAACTGAAATATCTTAAAAAGTCTTTAAAAGGAAAAGAAAATTGCATCAGAAATAAACATGCAAATAAAATAACAGTTTACTCAAAATATGAAAGTAGATTGCATTGCATATGTTGCCCCTCTCCATTTGAAAAAATATGGCAGCAAGTTACACATAATCAGAAGCCTAACTCATTGCACATAGAATGTAGAGAAATCTGTATGTACATGTATGCTTTATTAAACACAGATAAAAAACAGTACATGTAAAGAGGAGAGAATGCTTTTGGACAGTGTAAAATAAAAGCTGTACCTTCTCTATCTCTTCTGGACTCTCCTAAGATACAGTAGTTATAAGCTCTAGTGAAAAGTTATTCTTGCCATTTGCCGAGGAGATAATTACCAGTACACTAGTTTTGCCAATCTAATTTATTTTTGAATCACATTTTTACATGATAATATCATCAAATACCTGCTTAAGCCTTATAAGAGAATATATTTTTTCAATTCACAAAATAGTGAAATTTGCAGTATAAATTATTAAACACAAATGCATGCTCAACTTGTTAAAATTTTTATTTCCAATATTAACCCCTACTGATCTCTTTAGGCTACATACCTCATCTTGCTTGGCAAAGAAAGAAAGATCTCCCTCCTTGGTTAATTTACTTTGGCTGGACCTGTAGAAAAGTGAAATGTTTATTTGCTGAGCACATAGCCTTTCTTTCAATTCTATTGTGCACTAAATCAACTATCCAAAGGATATTTAAGTGAGTTCATATTTTGTTATTAATGAACAATCACTCTCTTACATCTGTTCAATATAGTACATAACTTTATACTTTCTGCAAGAAATTCTAGATTTTTTTAGTATTGTTTCTTTATGACTGTCAAATATCTCAGTCATTTTCTGTTTTATGTCAGTGCAACAGTTTCTTAATTGTCACCATAGCCTGAAATGACAAAGTATCGTGAAAGAAAAATATCATCACTATCATTAACAAAAGCTATCAATATATTAAAAGAAAAAATGTCTTTGAAGTCCTTACTTCCCACACTGTTATCAATGGCCTCCTGTGCCTTCTGTATGCCAAGTCTGAACTCCTGCAGCTCTGGCCGGAGTTTGTGACCTCTGTGGTAGAAGACTAGCGCCATCTCAAAGTTACCCATGCTGTACAAAGCCTCTGCTTTTTGGAACAAGCCCTGGATAATAAATAAATTAATTTTAATAATTACAATAAGAATAAGAATATAAAGAATAATAATGATAAATATAGCAAAAAATATATATCACAAATAAGTTTAAAGTACGTGTAGATAAAATGAAACCAAAATATGTGCTTTTGATAATCATAATGATAATAAATTATGAAAATAAAATTAAATAAAAATTTGCATAATAAAAGTGGTTGAAGAATTTTCACAAATTGTTTTTTTATGTTAGATCATTCACCAATTATGAGATAGTGATTATGTTTTTTGACTGTTATTTATTACTATTATCATTATTATGTTTTTCAAACTTATCAATGTATATACTTCACAGAATAACAGAAAGGACCAAATCATACAGTGCATATGCACCCCTGTACATATATCATCCCTAGATCTGCAGATGGAGCACATAAAGTAAACGGATCTATACAAACATCATGAGTACATAAGCTGTTTGTCATATATTGATCAGGACCACCTGAACTGTGAATCAACATGAGATTAGAGGCAAAGTAACCCACATACTAACAACATAGGTCTATCTGCTAGTCAGTGTGGCATTTGAATCTTTTATCACTCTCAGGTAATTATATATCATTACTGTAATCTTTATGTCCAAGCTGCAATTCATTCATTGGTCCCTGGTGTTGTGTTTATCTATTATGGATAATTTAATCCTTTGAGTGGTGTTTGGGTACATGAACCAACCAGTACAATCTCATGCTGATTGTATATCATAATATTAATTATATTTGCATTGTATTCAATATCAGGGACTTCATTTTGAATATTTCCATTACGTCCTGCTGGTGCATGTTAGTTATAAAAGATGTATTATTACCTAATCAAGATTAAGTCAATAAGTATGTTGCAATAATAAATAAATAAATATTTTTATCATGTCATACAAGAAAAAACCTCACCTTGTGAAAGTCTTTATCATCCACCAGTGAAGCCTCAGCATCTTCATAAGCTTTCTGTGTCTCCCCAAGTTGAAGGTAACATTTAGATCTGGAGACCAAACAGTTTCTGTCAGTGGGCTTCAGTTCCAAGGCCTAAAAATGAAATAATGTAGATATTAAAGAATTAACACAAAACTGAATGTAATAAAATAAAAAAGTGATTTAAATATTTAAAAAAATAGACTAATAAAACTAAATAAAGCAAAATTTACATTAGGTCAAAATAAAATAAAAGTGTTTAAAGTACAAAAATTAAAAAAAAAAAATAAAAGACTGAAAAGATATGCCAGTGGTAAACTTATAATGGGAAATCTTGTTGTCTTCTTCTATCTCTTATATTTCACTTTTTATATTGTTAATTTAATATTTCATGTAAAATGGCTATTTACTCTTAAATGCTTTATAACTTTATGAATACAAATTCAATTTTAAAACAAAATGGAATTTAGAGCTAAGATTCTAGAATATGCAGGAAGTATTCATCAGCAGCTTTGTGTTCCCTTTTGGAAATTTGGGAAATTATCTTTTTCTTGTTTTCTGTTACTCAGTATGTGCCATTTTTATAATCTCTATTAACATAAGTTTTGGGATCAAATTCTAATGCATACACACATATACCATAATGCTTTTGATGAGACATTATATCAGACTGTACCCTGTATTTTCTCATAATTCATGTGTTTGTTCACCAAAATTTAAATACAACTTCACTTTGATTATATCACATGCCCATGTGTTACTTAATTTGCATTAAAAAATCCCACATGTAGATTCAAAATCTTTTGCTGTACTAGTACAGTACATTTATGTTCATGCTCAGTTGCTTTACATATTCTGTAAAAAATTCCAAGTATTGGTGGCAATATGTAGGGGTTAAAATACTAGTAAGTTAGCCAACTTTTGACTTCTTAAATACATGTTGTTGCAAACACGATGCAACTAAAAATTTTAAAACATGAATATATTTTAATTTTGAATAGCTCAAAAAATATTATGATTTATTCACAATTGGACTATTGTGACTATCCGTGTATCCACCCAACATAATACTAGTGTACTGTACATTGTACATGTAGTGAACACGGTCCCAGTACCAATGCATGTACAAGTACATCGTCAGTACACCTACATGTACATATGCACTGTACGGTACATGTACTTGTACTGTACTATTACTGTGGCGGTACAGTAGCTTATTCAGTGACAACTCGGGCATAGTGAATAACGCAATATCTACGTAACAAAAGTGACTTTTGAGGGGTTCAAGTACAATAAGCTCGGATTTTCTATCGATAATCAATCTTTCGCCCATAGATATGCGTGCCTTCACGTAACATTAGCAGATCCTGCAAGTCGAACATGCCTCTTACATGTGCACGAAACTTACCGTGTTATAACTCTCGATAGCTTTTCTGTATTCTCCCTGTTTGTATAAATTGTCACCTTCCGCTTTGTACGTCTCATATGTCCCTTTGGGTCCACCTTCTGAGTTCTGGTCGTCATACATTTTGAGATTGCCTGCTATAAATGTATTGATTGACTGTATTAAGCTACTAAGTGAATTACAAAAATGGCGGAAGAATGTTTACGGTAACTTGGTAACTAGGGCCAGAACGAGGCTACAACTATGGCGCTACAATCGCATTATTCCAAGACGGCCCAGGGCATAAGCAAACAGCTACATCTCTCCGTTTCCATTAGATTAACTGCATCAAATGGGATTACAAAAGGATTGTCAAAATTAAATATATAGAAATATAAATAAAAATTATATGACCTTACTTTATAACTATAACGTTACTGAATGACATTTTTTGGAAAGATACATGTACATGTACAGTTACGGCGTCACTTTCAGAGGAAAACGTCCTGCAAGCTCAGATAGCCTGTAAATGTACAGGTACGGTGCACGTACAGCATGTACAGTACATATGCTAGACATTTGCTCTTGAGTTGCTTGGGTATGTGTGTCGATCAGCCTAAGTAAGACCTGCTGGTATACACCTAAATCTACTAGTAGCCTACTATTACCGGTACATGTACAAGTTAATCAGCAATCAGCCTAACCTCTCTTGTCCGTGTCTTGTGTCTTACAAATATATATCGGTGGAGAAATATACATGTTCCCGGCAGCCCTATCACCTCATATTGTGTGCAATATTTGCGTTAGGATGTGGCACCTATCTTACCGTAGGAAACATTAACGTCCCGAAATAAAACTTGAACTTCCACTCCAGACACGTCCTCGCCGAAAACTGAGGTGAGGGGCGAGGCAGAAAAATGATTTTTATTTTATTTTAAAGCAATTTCTTCTCTGCGCGTCAGAGTATATTTGCTCCCTTTTGTTTTCCATAACTAGGCACGTACTTACAAGTATACATGTAAAGTGATAATGTTATTACAGGGACGGATATCCAGGATTATTTGAAGGGGAGTCCGCCCCCCCCCCCC